AACAAGTCCTATTTACTTTGCTCTTTTCTATTGTTCTTCTAGCCTCTATTTCATTTATTTTTGTTCTGATCTTTATTATTTCCTTCCTCTCACGAACTTTGGGCTTAGTTTGTGTTTGATTTGTTTTTCTAGTTTCTTGAGATGTAATAGATGTTTATTTGGGATATTTTCTTTTTTTAAATATAGGCATTTATTGGTACAGACTTGCCCCTTACAACTACTTTTGCTGTGTCCCATAAATTTTGGTACATCATGTGTCCATTTTCATTTGTCTCCAGATATTCTTATATTTCCCTTTTAATTTCTACTTTGGTCTATTAGCTGTTTAGAAAACATATTGTTTAATTTCCATGTATTTGTGAATTTTCTGAAATTCCTTATTATTTATTTCTAGTGTCATACCATTGTGGTTGGAGAAGATACAAGATATGACTTCATTCTTCTTAAATTTGTTAATTGTTTGTGGTCTAATACATGACCTATCCTGGAGAATATTTGCTACACACCTGAGAAGAATGCGTATTCTGGTGTTGGATGAAATGTCCTGTATATGTTTGTTAGATTCATTTGGTTTAAAGTTTCATTTAAGTCTCATGCTTCCCTATTGATTTTCTGTCTGTATGATCTGTCCATTGTTGAAAATGGGGTATTGAAATCACCTACTATTATTGTATTACAGTCTGATCTCTCTCTTTCAGGTCTATTAAGTATTTGCTTTACATTAATTTAGCTGCTCTAATATTTGTTATATGACTATTTAACATTTATTATATCCTTTTGATGAATTGACCCCTTTTATCATCTACATAATGATCGCTTCTTTTGTGTGCATTTTGCAGTTTGTTGTCTTAAAGTTTCTACTTTACCTTGGATGATAAGCTTAACTATCCATTTATTTTGTTATTCATTTGATGGGATAATCTTTTTCATCCTTTTACTTTTTTTTTCTCTTTTCCTTTCTTTTTTTTAGATGGAGTCCCAGCTCGTGTTCATCAGGCTGGAGTGGCAGCGTGGCATGGGTTCGCGTTCAACTGCAATTCTCTGCCTCTCTGGAGTTCAATCGATTCCCTCGCCATCCAGTCCCAAGTAATGGGACATTCACCAGCGCTCATGTCCACCATCATACTGCCCAGCTAACTTATTTGCGTAATTTTTTAGTGACGACAGGTTTTCCTTTTCCACCATGTGGCCAGGATGGTGCTTCCATCCATCTCCTGATCCTTCGTGTTCACTTACCTCCGGCCCTACCCAAAGTGTCTGAGATTATCATGCTAATGCCACCAAGCTCGGCCCACTTTCAACTATATAAGTTATCTTTTAAAAGTGGAAATGATGTCTCTTGTAGACTCAGCATAGGTAGTTGTGGCTATGGGTCTTTTATTCATCTATTGTCTTTTGGTTGGTGAATTTTATATACACTTATATATTCATATGGTAATTATACGGTAAAAAAATTACTAACTGCTAAATTATTGTTAATTCTCGTTTTTGGTTGTTTCGTGATAAGTCCTTTTGTCTTGTTGCAGCTCTTCATCCTGCTTTTGTCTTCTGAGTTTGTGATTAAAAAGTTATTACTCTTCTCAGTCGGTATGCTTGATTCTCCATAATTTTTCTGTCTTTCTTGATATCTACTATACTGGTTTTTGACTTTTTGTGCTTTATCCATTTGAATGCTCTAAAAGATAGAAGCAAGTTCTTATTAAAAATACTATCCTAAGCAGATAGCAATTAAGTATTTGACCATGTAGATAGAACTCTACACTTTTACTTTTCCTCCTCCACATTTTTGTTTTTGATGTCATTAATTTACATCACTTTATATTGTGTATTCCTTAGCAAATTATTGTAGCTTATACATCTAAAGCACTATTTTTAACAGTGTTGTCTTTTAACTTTTGTACTAAAGATATCAGTGATTTATATACCACCATGACAGTATTAGAGTATCTGCAGTTGACTGTGTACTTACTTCTACCAGTGAGTTTTATACATTCCTGCTTTCATGTTACTAATTAGCACTCAGTTCTTTCAGCACAAAGAGCTCCCTTTAGCATTTCTTGTAAGACTGGTGTGGTGGTGATGAATTCCTTCAGCTTTTGCTTGTCTGGGGAAGTCTTTATATCTCCTTCCATTTGTCAGAAGGACAAAGCTAGGGACTTAGTTTTCAACTTCCGCTTGACCCAATATTAACCTAAAATATGGCAGAAAATATGTGGAAATTAGTATCAGATCTTTCTTAAAACTTTCAAGAGCTTTTTGGAAAAAAAGATGTGAAACGAAAAATTATAAATACAATCCTGGCTTTGTGACTCTGCCCAACCTCAGCCTCCAAGGAGGTTGGATATAGTGTGAGCCACGTGTGGCCTGGCCCTGATTGATTCATTTTGCCAGGGGCAGTGGTTACATCTCTTGTTATTCCCAGCCTCTTTGGAGGCTGAGGTGGGCAGATATGAGTAGGAGTTGACAAGCGCTGCAAACCTGGTGTGAAACCCCTACTCTCGGTACTAAAACACAAAAATTAACCAGGGGGGTGGTGATGTAATCCCAGTTACTCAAGAGGCTGGAGGCAGCGGAATCAATTTTTGGGACCTGGGAGGTTGGAGGTGTGCAGGTGAACAAAGATCCAACGCACACTGCACTCCAGGCCTGGGTTGACAGAGAGGACTCTATTCTAAAAAAAAAAAAAAGAAAAAAGAAAGAAAGAAAGAAGGAAAAGAAATGAATAATCAGTATTCAACCTTATCAAAAGACAGTTAAATTATTTTTCCACTTTCAAGAAAACTTCTTACCCATGAGAATTGGATTTCCTCATGCAGTTTACATCAATGCTTTTTAAAAAGTGGAATAATCTTATTTATACTTAATTTTTTAGTTAAGTATAAATTAAGGCAATAGAAGTTGAATATGTCTTTAATACAGTGCATATCTAAATTTCCAATTTCATTGCAAAACCTATTTTCAGGTTTTTGTTTTGAATTATAGATTAGATTTATTATTTTATATCTTATTTTTTATGTATATGACTTGTAATTGTACAATTTTTCATCATATGTATATATTCTCTCTCTATCACATGACATTGACTTCCTATTTTCCATCTTGATATAATGTTTTAAAATAGAATTTAGAAAGTTAATTTAAATAACTTATTAAATAAATAAGGACAGATATCATCAAGGTATATTTGAATGACAGAGGTTTTGAAACGCTATGGAAGAATAAGCTTTTAGGATCTGTGTTCATCATTGTTCATGGTTGAATTCTTACTTAAGAAAGTAAGACACAAAGTGTTGCAATTATTCTTTCAGCTTATTTAGCTTTATAACTGGATGTAAAGTTTAAGGGAGTTATATTTTTGTCTTTCAATTACTAGAAATTTTGGTTATTACTTAGTCACACATCAAACATGTTTTCACTCATTTTTTCCACAAACCACTATGGTACTTGCACATAGGAACAGAAATGACTATGACTGTAAGTGCTCTCAAAGTATTTACAATTTGATAGTGGAGGCAGACACACACATACATAACTAATGAAAGGAGAAATGAATTTTCAACTATAGTAGATATACAAACAAAATGTTGTGGCAGTCCAAAGGAGAAAAAAAAAGTTATGACACAAAGTAGAAAAAAGATCCAAAAGGCTAAACAGTTCTGATGGCATTTGATCGGTAGCTTCAGAAATCAGTAGGTAAAATGGCCAGTTGTAGAATAAAGGATTCTAGGCAGCCATGTCAGCAACGCTCTGAAGTGCAGAAAGTGCAGGATATGTTCATGCATTAGTAGTCTAATGTGGCTGGTACACAAAAATATATAGTGAAAAATGAATCTGTAAAGGAGAAACAAGCCTAAATATCAAATGAAGTAATGTAGATTTCATTCAGAAACTTTACTAAGCAACCAGTTAGTACAAAGATTAGTCATTCTCCTTAGTTAACGCCATCATGTGCTGCAGTGTATGCACTGGAACGGAGTCAAGTTTAGAGTGGATACATCCCAAGTCTTTTGGGACAAGTAAATGCCAAGACCAGAGGTCATTATAATATAGCATCCCTGGAGCCATAAAATTGAAATTGGAGATATGCCGAAAGACTTCGACTTAAAAGGAAAACCAGCAAAATTAAAGCAAGTATTAAAGAGAGTAACTGATGGGACATTTGCCAGATTCGAATTAATTAAATTCAGCCTTAATTTTTAAAAGTGCTGCTTGCAGCAAAATGAAGCCATCCTTTTCTAATACAGTGAGACAGTAATGTGATCCCATTATGATTCATTTCAAATTTGAGGTTTTCGCCAGTTTATTCAGTTGGTTAAGAATAAAGTGATAGTTGGCCGGGCGCAGTGGCTCAAGCCTGTAATCCCAGCACTTTGGGAGGCCGAGACGGGCAGATCACGAGGTCAGGAGATCAAGACCATCCTGACAAACATGGTGAAACCCCGTCTCTACTAAAAATACAAAAACTTAGCTGGGCGTGGTGGCGGCGCCTGTAGTCCCAGCTGCTCGGGAGGCTGAGGCGGGAGAATGGCAGGAACCCGGGAGGCGGAGCTTGCAGTGAGCTGAGATCCGGCCACTGCACTCCAGCCTGGGCAACAGAGCGAGACTCCGTCTCAAAAAAAAAAAAAAAAAGGATAAAGTGATAGTTGCAAATAACATCACTATCAGGAAGACTACCACCTAGATCAAAAGTAGTCAAATGAAAGACATTGTTCCCATTTTCACCTGCCCTCTATGCTCTCAGCTTTAGTATTAATAAGATTTGAGGTTAATTAATCCTGGAATCAGGAAATTAAACCATAAGTTATGAAAATCCAACAGTTTTTTATTTCAAGAGATTTTGCTTCATCCTTGTGCATCTATTTGAATGTGTGGGCATGCCTAGAAACACCTGCTTTTAGTGAAATGGGCGGGTATGAGATGTATTGATTGGGTTCTTCCTGCCATTAACTCTCTAACGAACCTGTCACTTCTCCAAGTAGTGAATCATGTGGACAGGGTGTATTGCATTTTATTGGTTTCTTTTCTTTCTTTCTTTTTCCTTCATCCAGAGCATTCGTAACAGAGGCACATTTGCCTTTTGCAACTAAGCTGTACTGAATTCCAAAGCCATAAATATCCATTTTAACCTGGAAAGTCCTTTTCTTTGCTAGTCCAGAAGATTTTTTAACATGAACAAGATCCTCTCAAGCACTCTTTGCTTTGGACTCCTAACTTTGTCATCTGTGTTGATCTTTTTACAATCTGTGCGTGGACGGCCATATTTTACCCAAGGTACGTGCACATCAATTTAAAATCCTGCAGGCGGGTAAATAATTCTTCTATTTCTACTTGAACAACTTTGATTTTTCTGCCATTGTTGAAATAATGTTGTAAGAAATAAATATTAGTTAACAGCCAAACCTTCCTTAAGTAGTTGCTCGTCAGAATTAAATGTCATCTTCAATGCTGTTCTTTTCAAGTAGATTAATTTTACCCAAATTAATTTTATCCAATATTGCACTAAATTCACTTCAACTATACTTTAAATATTGGGGTGCTTGTTTCTCATTTGTAGTCCATGACCAAAGATTGGGAATGTATCAATAGTATTATATTCTTCATATTTCAGAACTCTATCTTGGGGAAAGGAAAAGGAGATTTTCATCTTACAAGACTATTAGTAAGTTCTTTCTGAAAAGAGAGTACAACAAAGAAAAATACATCAAAATAGAAACTTGTATTTGCAGAGATTTGCAGAAAATAAAGCATTGGGGGAAATCATAGCAGTTTCAGGAGGGCAATGCTAACACCTACATTACACATTTTTTATCACATTTCCAACATACTTAGGATACTTATGTGAAATGAAATAATTCCATCTATGACAGCTAGAAAATATACACCATGATAAAATTAGTGAAAATAAGTTTCTGCTCTTAATATTATAATGTATATAATTTTTATTTAAAATTTTTGGTTCTTCTATAGAAAAGGTAGCTCTTAAACTGAGAATTCATTGAGCGAGATTTAGTAGTGATCTATTAGGCAAACAACCTAGCCTCATTGAAACTTTAATACATTTCTTTATGTTTCCAAAATAGTGACTTAAAGTAATGTTCTCTAATATCTTTTCCAGCCTGAAATTCTTGCTGTTTCTCTCATCTAACTGACTTCCTTGTCAGGAAGAGGGAGATAACCTTTTACTCTCAGCTTACTTAAGGGGAACTAAGACAGAATGTAATAAATTTTGTTTACATGACATTAGATTGAGAAAAGAGATCAAGTTTCCAATTTCTGATTCTAATTCCATTTTACTAGACCTTGTTACCTCAGTCAATAAAAAGTAGAGTAGTTCTGTTGGCAGAGGAAATAAAATTGCATAATCCCTTATTATTTATTTATGAGGATTTTACCCATTGAAAAACAAGTAGTCTCAGGGACCTAAATACAAGCCTGGGAATCAAAGATTCTGGATTTTATCCATGACACTCACATTCTGTCTTTTGCCAGCCACAATCATTGCATTTGGTCGGTCTCCATTGCTCTTTCTAGGAAATAATGAAATTTCCAATGTTTCTAACATAATGTAAACATGAGAGGAAAAATGTGGTTATTTGCTGAAGACTTTGCAAAATTAGGATTAGGTAACTGTAATTTCTAATTTCATGTGTATATGAAATAGAGAAAAATCTGCCTCTAAAAAGCATTTGCTAGATTACAGTTAAATAACATCTCTGACCTCAGAATGCCACACAGTTATATGCATGTATCACTGGCAGCACAGTGGAACTATTTCTCTCAGAGACCTCTTTGATCTCAGTTTTACTATATCTAAATAAGGAAGATTAAATTATTAATAAGGTTATTTTCTATCTAGATAGTCCACGATTAGAGTGAGCTCTTCTCCATGTATACATTTTTAAAATTCACTATTTGACTTCTTTTAGTCTTTTAATATAATTTTAAAATAAGCATTTATCTGCTGACACAGACTACAAAGTTGGGGTTATCAGGTTTTTTCTGTGTGTTAGAACTCTCCAAGACAAATGGCACAATCCTCCCAGCTTACATCTGGTAGGGACCATATAAAAGTGTGCCTGAGGGAATGAGCCTGACATGGGGCAAGCTGCCTAACACAGCGGAGGAAGAGAGAGTATCATGACCACGAAGATTATGGGAAATTTCTTTTTGGGAATATAGTCGTTGTGGGAGTTTCCAGATTTCTTTCTGGTAAAATTTCTTGTCTCTATGCAGTCAAAACCCTCCCACGTAAATGGAAAGCAAAGAGACAACTAAATTTTTTAAGATTCAGTATCTTGAGTAGTAACGAATCACCATTTTCTGTGTAATATTTGCAAAAACACTCTCTCATGTTGGAACAGCTTTGCCATCTCTTGTGTCAAATGTATGTCTACACTCAGATATTTTATATTCAAATATTTCCTTTATTAATGTTAACTCTGTTCAAAGATAGAAACATTAGGAACATCATTTTCTGTTTTAAAGCTATATCTGTTTTAAAACTAAGTGTGAAAACAAAAAACAAAAGACTCATTTTCTGTTGCTTTTTTTTTTTTTAGCCAATATCTTAACTTCAGAAATCAACTTTTTAAAATTCCTTTTTAAAGTTTTTCTTCAGAGAAAAGTTTTTCTTCAGAGACTCCCATAAAAGAAGTGTTTTTTCTTAAGAGATAGTGATGAGGAATTTCTGAGGACAAAGAGTTATAGAGGTATAATTATTGGAAGCAAAACTAATAAAGAAAGGCAAATCTATCAGTTTTGTTTTTTGAAAAATGTTTCACTTAACTATGCAGAGGAATGGACTGTGAATTAAGGGGAAAAAAGCTTTAGATCCATACTCTTCTAGTTAGATTACTCTTAGTCACATACGTTTTCTAAATTGAAGGTAATGAATCTGTTTCTCTTATCACAGTTGTCTTTCTGAAACAAGTAATTATTGTTATCTGGCTCTGAAATATCCTGTCTTTTTTTCAAAGAAAACATTTTAAAGATTACAATTTAACATTTTTAATGAACGATTAAAATAAAAATTACATTATTTCATAATAATGTCTTTCTTTTAAACTGAACTATCTCTGAGAGTCTTTGTAAAATTGACGCTGAGCAAAATTTGATAATCTATTGGTATTTTAAATACTCAAAAGAAAATTTCACCAATAACTTTTATGTTTATGAAGCAAAGAAAATTGAAGAATTGAGCAACAATTAAGTGTCTTTGGTTAATGTAGAAAATTGTGATTCTGTCACCTACCCCAAATTATTCATTTTCTTCTTTTTAATTAGCCATTTAACTGTTTGAATTTATCAACTAACATTTTGTAGAGACAGGAAAGACAGGTGATTTTAAGAAATAGTCTAATCAACTTATAAGTCGTTTCTTTAGCTGAAACCATGTACTCACTCCTAAACTTAAATCTTATTAATATTGCCTCTACTCACACTCTAACAGTACAAGAAGGCAGTGAGAAGAAAAAATGATCTTACAGAAATTATGTGATGAAGGTTTGATTTTTCAGGCCATTTCACTAAAGTTCATTGTAATATACTAATTATATACTAATTATTATTTCAATTGAATTATTTGTCAATGGATATTTTTTGAATCTTCATGTTTTATAGCTTGCTAGAAGTCTCTTGTCTCAATTTCTACTCCAGAATGAAGATAATGATAGTACTGAGACATTTAGGCAGCTGAGGAATGAATGACTGTGAGGTCAATTGACAAAGATGAAAACATGTCAATTCGGAAGAGGCTGACACCATCCTAGCTCTGCCACAATCTTCCTTGGATGTTTGAAAGGAAATTCATGGAACATGAACTGGCTTATACATAAATGTGTATATCAAATAAAATCACAAAATAAAATGTTATTTTTTTCTTTTGAAAACTACTTTTAGTTTATACTTATGTTAAATAAAACAGTAGAACATTCTAGAAACAGAGATTAAAAAGAAGAAAGTAAAATTCACCTCCAATTCTCCTACTCAGAAGTAATCACAGGAAAAACTGCAACCCTCCAGGTATATGCATATATTCTCTCTCTTTCTGTGTCTGTCTCTCTTTGTCCATATTCATTCAATAGATATTCAATCCTTTTTTTAATGACCCATCCCTTTGGATTATACACTCTCTCTACATTTCTTTTGTTGTTAAATATACAAATTGATAGTTGCCTGTAAGACCAATTTAATTAGAAATATTTTCGGTGACTCAGATTGAAAATGGTGGTTTTTGATCATTACAGGAAATGAAATACTTCCAGATAAAAATGATCCAAATCGTGAGGAACTGTTGCTGGCTCTACTGAATAAAAATTTTGATTTCCAAAGACCTTTCAACACTGGTGAGTTAAGGATAAAGTCAAGCTCTATTTATTAAAAAATAACAGAATCTATTTTGTCTTGAGACTTGCTATTTCTAAATGTTAATTGATATTAAATGAAATAATTACTCCTTTGTATGTTACACTAAAGATTTAAGTGATTTTTTTTTGTTTTATATTTATGTTAAATCCATGGAGTTATTAACAAATATTAAAAGCCTATTTTGGTCAATTCGAGGGTCCTAATGGGATTGGTAACCATATAGTAAAAAAAATGGTTACCTTTATTCATGTTTTCTTCTCATCTGTGCAATTCTCCACTAGTACCCCCAGTATTTTCTTTTATTAAATGTTTCAAAAATGTTATATTTATAGGTTTCTTCTAGAAATTTCACAAATTAACTGCAGCTTTGTTGTAGTTAATTTAGCATTATTTTAATCAAAATCTTTCAATTTTAGGAAATGATTAGAGTACAGATGATGAACGAAAAATTTAGGCTACACCAATTGAGATTATTTTTATTTGAAGAACAGAATAATCTGACTTACAAATATCCATCAGATTGTCTTCCAAGAAATGACTGAGATTTTGTCAGAAATTTAGCAAGTCTAGCCTAAGAGAAAATGTGACCAAATGATACTGTGCTACTCTCCCATACAACATCTGAAGTAGTCTAAAAATGTCTGTATTCATACAACAAAATGCCAGTTAAAAGAATAACTTAATAAATACTTTTAAAATTCAGGGTTTTTAAACTAAAAGTAATATATTCCTGTTGAAAAATAAGTGAAATTTATAAAAACAAAAAATTTGTACCCAAATTTTAAGACCCGGAGCAAGTTAGCATTAGTATTTTGGAGAATTTTCTTCTTGATTGAATTATGCATAGGATACATGGCCTGCTTTTCTTCTTCCCATTTAGTGTTTTATGAGAATTTCCACATGCCAGCAAAAATGGTTTATTTCTAAATCATAGGTCATGTTAGAACTATGGTCTACTTTAGAAAAACTTTGTACTTATTGTTGAAAGTTAGATATTTCAGATGTCATAACTGATCGCATTTCAATACTATGGGCACTGAAAAAATATACTGGAGATTTTGTATTAGGAATGGGTGGATGATGTCAAATCATACGAAAAAGACCTGTGCTTTCTACATAAGATCCTAAACGTATGTACTGAAGCAAATTAAATATCACTTGCGATATACGTTTTTTCATATGACAAATGTGTCTTGCAGATCTAGCATTGCCTAACAAACTGGAAGAACTTAACCAGGTGAGAATGTGAAATACTTAAATGATCAATTTTAATAACAATTATAAGGAAATTTCTTCTTGGCACAATGTTTTTAAAAAGAAATTATTAATACTACAGTGTAAAACTTCTATTCCTGCTAAACAAAGGGTGAAGCTATTTTACAGGAAAAGAAAAATCAAATTATACTAACACAAAACAGAACAAAACTATGGCTGAAGTGATCTTTCTATATAATGTCTAGAAATCTGGATTCTAATTTTAGCTTTGCAATTACCAAACTATGAAAACTGGGGCAAACAAATTCTCTAGACCGAAATCTCCTCATCTGTAAAATGGGAGGCTATAAATAGATGGATGTTTTTTGAAGTTATTGTTTTTAAACAGTGGGAATCTTTTCTCCCCCAAATGTTGTGTTTTTCCAGCAAATGAAACATGTAAAAGCAGAGCTGTTTGGCTTGAAGCAGCTGGTTTGAAGAGCCTGAAGTGCTGCTCTCTTGATGGGGGCCCCTAGCAACACCATTTTCTCTGTGCAGTTCCATTATTCTGCAAACCGTATGGCCGTTTGGGAGAGAGAATTATTCTCATCATTCTCTTCTGAGTAGCACCAACATGGAGATAAACAGTGGTTCAGGCTGAACCCTACTTTTGTAGTTAGTTCTTCAGGGCTTAAAGCAATTCATAACCTTGTTAAAAATTAAAATAAGTAGAATTATAGATAGAAATCTTAGGGCCTCAAAATACTTTTTCCTTCCAACTAGAAAAGACAAAAAAATTCAGGAAATCCAAGCATTGACATAATAATTTGTAGCTCCTTGAAAAGACCCGCTCATTATAGGTGACACAAAATAAAGTCCAAGTACACAGGCTGTATCTACAGGTTCCCCATTAACAGCTAGAGGTGACTTCCTTTAGCCCAAAACCTATTTCTTTCTGATCTTTTGTTGAGTCATGTACCTTTCCTAGTCAGCCCCTAAATGAATGCTCCCTGTTTTTCTTCTCTTTTTTGTTTCTTTCTTCCTTTGTTTCCATTTCCTCCTTTTTCTCTCTTTCTTTCTTTTGTCCATTTTTTCTCCTTTTTTCTTTCTTTCATCTTTCTTCTTTTTCAATAAAGAGCAGCTTTTTTTTTTCTGAGACAGAGTCTTGCTCTGTTGCCCAGGCTGGAGTACAGTGATGCGATCTCAGCTCATTGCAACCTCTACCTCCTGGGTTCACACCATTCTCCTGCCTTAGCCTCCCAAGTAGCTGGGACCACAGGCGCCTGCTACCACACCCAGCTAATTTTTTGTATTTTTTGTAGAGGCAGAGTTTCACTGTGTTAGCCATGGTGGTCTTGATCTCCTGACCTTGTGACCTGCCTACCTTGGCCTCCCAAAGTGCTGGGATTACAGGCATGAGCCACCACGCCTGGCCAACAGCATGGCTTTATAGAAGACTAATTAATTATCATTTTACAGTTTTATCAGCTGGAAAAGCTAAAAGAACAGCTAGTGGAGAAGGATTCTGGGACGTCCTATGCTATAGATGGTCTATTCTCTTCTCATCCTAGCAAACGAGGTAAGCTTTTATTTCAAGGTTTTAAGATTGACTTCCAAAAGATGATTTTTGCAGTTATTTCTGAGAGGAAGATGATTCAGTGGGCATTTCTTAATCTTATGTTGGTGATCAATAAAAAGGTTCATATTAAAAAAAAATTCTGATAAAAATGATACCATACAAACGTATTTGAGCTTTCTGGTATTTGCAACAGGGGGCAAGTTCGCACTTCTCAGGTTTAAATAAAATAAGTCCTTATTATATAAACTCTGGCTTACCCTTGCTATTTTGGCTTAAACACTGAAGCAGAAAAGACCACAAATAGAAATAATCCATTTTAAGTCAATTTGAAATTTCACAGAATCTATTCTGACATAAGGGGAAACTTCATTGCTATAACACTTGTTCCAAGGTTCGATTCATAGCATTTTATTTTAGAAAGACTACTTTTTTGGATTATGCTTTTGGATAATTTTTCCTAGGAAATTATTGTTTCTTACTGCCTTTGTTTTTATTTTTGAAAATTATCGTATTACTGTTTCTTTATTCATGTAGTGATGAGAGATTTCCTAAGGCATATTTATTTTTACTTGTCCCCTATACCAGATTTGTCTTTAACTTCTGTAAAATCATATTTTCACAATATTACTGAGGGAAGAAGGTGGACCAGTGTCAAGCCCTGAACATATACCAGACATTTTATATTTTAATGTCTCAAAATATAGTTATTAAGCATTCAGACTCTAGAGCTAGACTGCCTGGGTTCAGATTTTAACTTTGACTACCTACGCAACCTTGGAGAGCTATCTAATTTCTTCTGCCTCATTTTCTTTGCCTAAAAAATGTGGATAATGATAATAATTTTCATGGGATTGTTGAGAGGAGTACATGAGTTAATTTAATTTAAAATAATCCCTGGTATGTAGTAAGTACTATGCAAGCTTAACTTAAAAAAATTATTTTGATCATTATTACTATAATTATTTTCTACACGAATCCCATACGATGACTATTAATATGACTTTTTTTATAAACGAGAAAACTGCATCTCAGAAGGGTTAAATTTCGTGCTGAAAATAACCCAACTGCTAAGTGACTTAGCTAGTAAGGCTGAAGGATAAAGTGGCAGAAGATGAAGTGGAGGGTAGGAGGGAGGGAATTTAGTGACTTTTTTTTTTTTTTGAGATGGAGTTTCACTGCCCAGACTGGAGTGCAATGGCAGAATCTCAGCTCACTGCAAATCTCTGCCTCTGGGGTTCAAGCAAGTCTCCTGCCTCAGTTTCCCAAGTAGCTGGGATTACTGGTATACACCATCACACCCAGCTAATTTTTGTATCTTTAGGAGAGATGGGTTTCACCATATTGGTCAGGCTGGTCTGATTCGGGATATATTTTGAATAAAAGTCAACGAATTTTGCTGAAGAATTACACATGAAGTATAAAAAATAGGCAGGTGTCAAAAATTACTCCAAGGTTTTTGTTTTGAGCAACGAGGAACAAAGGACAGTTTCTGTTTATTGAGCCAAGGATAACTGGAGAAGAAAGTACAAGAGAAAGATTGAAATAGAGATTTGTTGGACCTTTCCTGAATCAGTATAGCTTAGGCTATTATGTGTTAACAGTTTTAATCTAAATCTCAGAGACATAGTGTAATAAATCGAGAATCAAGTCCAATGCTTGTAGCACAGCACCGCTCTATTCTGTAGCCCTGTCATCTAGAATGTTGATACAGCTTAACTGCCTCCAACATTGCAAAACAGAAGAGGATAAAGGATACATCCCAGCTTTCAATTGCCTCAGTTCAGAAGGGGCACACATCATTTCTACTGAAGTCCATTGGCCAGGATTAGTCACAGACTACCACCAACATAAGGCAAGGAAGGTTAGTAAACATAAGGAAGCGTTTATAGTACTTGGTGAGCACTGCCTCTATCATAGTCTATCCTTCGATCTCTTCTTAAAAACATAGACTATTCTCAACTCATTCTCATTAGAGACAACCCCAAATCTCTACTAGTAACTGCACTCAGCACAAAGAACAGGCTTTGCAGGATACATTTACTAGTCTTCATCAGATATAATGTGGCCACTGTTTTTTTTTGAGACGGAGTGTCACTGTGTAGCCCAGGCTGGAGTGCAGTGGCATGATCTTGGCTCACTGCAACCTCTGCCTCCCGGGTTCCAGCTATTCTCCTGCCTCAGCCTCCCAAGTAGATGGGACTACAGGTGCCGCCACCAAGCCTGGCTAGTTTTTTTGAATTTTTAGTAGAGATGGGGGTTTCATCATGTTGGCCAGTCTGGTCTCAAACTCCCGACCTCAAGTAATTCACCTGCCTTGGCCTCTTAAAGTGCTGGGATTACAGGCATGAGGCACCATGCCCAACCAAGCTACTCTTCATTCACAGACCTATTAACTGAAAAGAAGAGTTATTATTCACCCCATACAAATCCAACAGTTAGCAGAGGAACAGAGAAAGGATAATTGCAATCAACGGCAACCTGAACATACTGCCTGCCAATTTGTTCTTTTCCAGCCTTTCTTCTAGGAGCTCTAGTCACATGGTCTGAATCCCAAGCTGTTGCAGATGCCAGTTTTACCACTTATTTTGTCATTTAATAAAATACCTCTTAATTTTTCAAACCTATGATATCAGTTTCCATATCTGCCATTAATGAGTTGCTGATACTGTGTCAGATTTTAGGTATGTTTTAGAGCAGCACCCTCACTTCACATTATCGAACTGTATATTGGGATATGCTAAGCAAGCTAACAAAATAGCCTTTAAATCTCAGTGCTGCATCTTTCTATAATTTTGATCGAGTTTACATGAAGTCTTACATATGCTGATTATTTTTCCTTCACTTCATGCATACACTATGTGGAACACATGGTCTCCATGTACCTATAGTAGGACAGGAGACAGATGAAGCAGGTAAATATGCTTTTAACTGCAAGAGCTATGCATATGATCCCAATTTAACTTATTGGGGATGTGGGATCCCTAGGAAATATAGAGAATGTTTAGGAATAGTTGAAGAGTTGTATTCCTACCACATATTTTGGGTTTGTTATGCCATAGATAATAAAATCTTCCAGTAGTAAATTGAGTAGGAGATTAAATGTATGTATGAATTTGAAGTTAGTGAATATGAATTTATATCTCCAATCAGCCCAGATTAAAGATACACATTTGACAGTTATCCGCATAGAAATATTGTTTGGCATTGTGAAGAGACCATCTAGGGAGTGACTCCAAATATAAAGAAAAGACATCTAAAGACTGAGGCCCAGATCATTCCAAGGGCAGAAACTGAGCAGATGAGGCAGAATCAACAAAAGAGGCTGAGTAGGAGTAGGTACAAGGAAGGAGGCAAGAAAGCAACACCCAGAAGTCAAGTAAAAAAACTGTTTCTATGCGAGACTCCATCTCAAAAAAAAAAACAAACTGTTTCCAGGAAAAAGGAGTTCAAGTCTATCCAAAGCTGTTGTTACCAAAACACCAGGGGTTCAGTCTAGGTCCTGCAGCTCACTCACTGCACAGAAAGCTGATCACTGAGACAAGTATTGCCAAGGAAGAAGGCTTTAATTGGGTGCTGCAGCCAAGGAGATGGAAGCTCAGTGTCAAATCCATCTCTCTAACTCACTAAAACTAGGGTTTATATAGCAGGGAAGAAATGTAACTATGTATGAGAAAGGCAAGGAAGCAATCATGATGAATGAGGGGTCCAATATCTCATTGTCTGGATGTGGTGATCTCGTGAATTTCAGTTCTTTGATACTTTTTTTTTTTTAAATACAGAGTCTTGCTCTGTCACCAGGCTGGAGTGCAGTGGTGCGATCTCTGCTCCCTGCAACCTCTGCCTCCCACGTTCAAGCGATTCTCCTACCTCAGCCACCCAAGTAGCTGGGACTACAGGCATGCAGCCACCACCCCCAGCTAATTTTTGTATTTTTAGTAGAGACAGGATTTCACCATGTTGGTCAGAATGGTCTCGATCTCCTGACCTGGTATCTGCCCACCTCGGCCTCCCAAAGTGCTGGGATTACAGGCGTGAGCCACTGCACCCTGCCCTTTGACACTTTGTTTGAGAGGCCTAAAGGTCGTTTCCTGAGGAAGAAACTCAGCTAAAACAAATACAAGCTTTAAGCTTTAACAGCAGAAGGGTCAATTTCTGATTATCCAAAAACAACTGTCTATGGAACTATTGGGCTGGTTTCACTATGATAGATCCAGTAAAATGACGACTGAGAACTTTCAGTCGAATTCAGTGGAGGAAAGGTCATTAATGGCCTTGCCAAGGATTGTTTGGTGAACTTTTTGTTAAAGAAAACATGACTATAGAACTGGAACCACTGGTGATAGAAAATTATCTTAAAGAATTTTGTGCTAAGGAATAGAAAAAATTTTGGTACATCAGCTAGAATGATTTGAAAGCATCCAAACAAAAAACAAAAACACAAAACCCTTTTTGTTTATTTTTAAGCAAGTAGATACTGCAACATGTTTGTAGGCCAGGTACCAGTGGCTCACACTTGCAATCCCACTACTTTGGGAGGCCAAGGCAAGAGAATCACTTGTGCCCAGTCGTTTGAGACCAGCCTGGCCAATATAGGGAGGCTGTGTCTCTACAAAAACATTAAAAAATTAGCCTGGTGTGGTGACCCACGTTAGTAGTCCCAGATACTCATGAGATTGAGACCGGAGGGTCCCCTGAGCCCAGGATTTCAAGGTTGTAGTGAGCTATGGTTGTGCCACTGCACTCCAGCTTGGGTGACAAAGCTGAACATAACCCACAATGCACATGAAGTGTTCTAATGTTGCCATAACTAGAGACTAACCACTGTGAATAACAACATATGAAGATGAAATAGACCCAGAAATCCAGCTTAAGAAAGTAAAAACTTAACGCTTACTATGAAATATTGTACCTTTCTTTAATCTTTTAATATATTGTCGATAGAGATCTGCTACAAATATAGCTATTCAACTCCTAGCGTCATGCTAAAAACAGAGAATACAAGAGTTAACAAGACAGCCATTAAGTGACACCAGAAAGTTGGTCGGGGTTTTACTTTATGTAAATGATAACTGGTGCACGCTATAAACATTGGGGAATTGGCTCTACCACCAATATGACTCATGACAGTTCCCTTTGACCACATCCAAAAAGTTCTCCAAACTATACTCCATTGTATATTTAATCGAACTGTTCATGTGGTATAAGTCTTGGCTAAGTGTAAGTTTATGTTCTTCTGCCAGACTCAGATATTCAAAGGCATCTGAAAGGACAGAAAGAACAGTGATGATAACTTTCCAAAGCATACTATAAGAAGAAGATTGGCCAGACATGGTGGCATGCACCTGTAGTCCCAGCTACTCAGGAGGCTGAGGTTAGAGAATCACTTGAGTCTGTAGCACTCTATAATCATGCCTATGAATAGCCACTGTGGTTCAGGCTGGGGAACATAGTGAGAGGCCTCATCTGAAAAAAAAAAAAAAAAAAGACTGAGAAAAAAGAAGACGGTTAGATTAGTGGGTGAGGCGCCTCACTTCAATGTCTGAAAATAGACTTCTGCTTTTGCAGGGTTTGAATGTGGCTTCTAAGGGAAACTGTGGCTCTTGAAGAAATGAAAAATAGGCTCTGAGTGATATCATAACACTGTTTATATGTGGTGATAAACACAGGGGCTACAGTGTATTTGGGGAGGAAAACCTGGGCAAGCAGATAGAAATTTATCATTCATTTCAATGAGAGATTATATCTTTTTCAAGTCTTTTTCACTGTAAATACTGCTGATCAACAATGAATCAAAGACCCTTCTCCCAAGGGACTTAGTTTTATAAGGTCGTTAAGTAAAAGGAAATTAGAGAAGCTGATAATTAGCCATATGCAACTTCTCTAAGTCAAGTGATCGGTAACAACCTACAGAAGGTTTAAAATGATTCACTTATATATTTGAAGATTGAAATGCCAATATATTTGATTTGATTTCTCTGAAGAATCATTTTATGATCAGAGTGGGAAGGCTAAATGTGATGATAAATGAAGTTAATTAAATATCATTTTATGGTCTGCAAAGTGACCTTCAAACTGTCTTCCTTCCTTTTCACTCAATAAATAGACTGTCATTAGCACTGCTTTTTTACTTATGTGACTTTCTTTTTGGTATTTCAGTTACCTCAAGTGTAAAATAGAGGGATGAATCTCATAGGGCAGTCCATCGAATTCTCTAGACTGTATTATATGTATTATAATGTACAACAGTGCTGTCCAGTAGAATTTTCTGTGATGGGAACATTCTCTAGTTTGTACTGCCCATTATGGTAATCACTGGCTACAAGTGCTACTGAGCACTTGAAACATGACTAGTATGATGGAGATGCTGAATTTTTAATTTATTTAATTGTAATTAACTTAAAGATCCACATAAGGCTAGTAGCTACCACATTGACTGTCCCTTTTAAAAACTTCACTCTCTCATCGAGCCACACATAAGCTATTGATTCAAGAGAAAGTTTTATCAAATATTCTTCTAATAAAAAAGGTATTTTGTTTTCTTCTTTAGCTTGCTTTTGGAAATACTGTGTTTAAAGCTTTTTCTCAGGATGCAAAGAAAGATAAGAATATCAGGAAAAGATATGTATCTACCCACTCTACTGTTTAAAATTGTAGCTGTTTCAATCACAAAGAAACTGGCATTTATTCTGCATATGATGTTTTCACCTTGTTCTTGTTACTAAGTCAATTGTAATAAGCTTAAGGTTTATGTTGTGAATAATCACTAATCAGTTGCACTTTTGAATGGCATGTCATTATCAAAATGGGTTTGTAGAGCTAGAGTTGAAAATGCTGTATCTATTGTATGCTTTCTATAAATTCATTGCTCATGTAAACTTTTGTCCTGTTGTGACTATGCTGAACTATTAATTAAAACATTTTGAAAAGCATCTTGGAAGGTTAAATTATGTTGTCTCATGTTACATGGCAAATATGCATTATTGTTCTTTCTCATTTTTATGACTGTGTTGGCCACCTCTCTTTTCTATGAATTTGAACAATGGTCATTGAGACTACCCCAACAAATGAATACATTACTAAAGGAGAAACAGATTTATTAAACTCTGGGGAAAAAGTACTAGATGTCTTAAAGATAGAACGTTAAGAAAATTTTCTTAAAATAATGATTTGCCTTTTGTTTTCTTAATTTTCATGTCTGCCTTCTCCACAACATGAGAAATTATTTGAGACTCTCAGCATGCTTGTAAGAGTTTAGACACAATGTGGTTAAAAAAACCCAAAAAACAAAAAACAAACAAAAACAAAAACAAAAAAACAAAAACCACAAAAACTCGTTGGCTTTCTCTTGATTAGTTTTTGTTTCACGTCTATACATCATACTGCCCTTGCTTACATCTAAACAAATTTATTTAGTCAATTAAAAGTTGGATAGTCAACCTCAATTTTGTTTACAATCTGTGCTGGCACAAATACATGGCCAAAGTAACTTTACAATGAAAGAATATTAATGGCTAGCTTACTCTGTGACAGCTGACCAGATCAGTCTACGTACCACCCTTTACAATATGGGGAGGAGAAGATACAGTTTAATCTACGTAACATTGTGTGGTGCTTAAGATAAAGCTGTCTTATAAGATAAAATGAATAATATTGCTTAATCTATTAAAAAAAATTAAGGGGCCGGGCATGGTGGCTCACGCCTGTGATCCCAACAATTTGGGAGGCCGAGGCGGGCAGATCACCTGAGGTCAGTAGTTTGAGACCAGCCTGACCAACATGGAGAAACCCTGTCTCTATTCAAAATACAAAATTAGCTGGGTGTGTTGGCACATGTCTGTAATCCCAGCTACTCTGGAGGCTGAGGCAGGAGAATCACTTGAACCCAGGAAGCGGAGGTTGCCATGAGCCAAGATCGCCCCACTGCACTCCAGCCCGGCAACAAGAGTGAAACTCGGTCTAAAAAAAAAAGTAATTAAAGACTAGGCCCAAAGGCTCACACCTGTAATCCCACCACTTTAGAATGCGGAGGTGGCAGTGGAGGGCATCAGGCTTAAGCCCAGGAGTTTTGAGACCAGCCTGAGCAACATGGTGAAACCCCATCTCTACAAAAAATACAAAGATTAGCCAGGAGTTGTCACATGTGTTTGCAGTCCCAGCTACCTGGGAGACTGAGGTGGGAGGACTGCTTGAGCCAGGGAGATCGAGGCTTCCGTGAGCTGCGATCGCACCACTGCATTCCAGTCTGGAGCAAGACCATTTTTCAAACGACAAATGTGTTATAATAAATAAAGATGAAAACTCCTGCTTTCATCATCTCATGTTTATTAACTTTGGAAAAGTTGAACCATATTGAAGCATCTTGAGCCTTTCGGCATAAAGGGTAATATCATTCAGAAAGCTTTTCATACTTTTTCCTTTTAGAAGACTCTATTATTTTTTCATAATTTGGTTGAAGAAACTTAATTCCCTAAAGCTATGAACAGATTAAAGGTACAATCTGACAGACATTTTGTAGTGTGTGTAAATTTTAGGACAACATAGCCAGGCACTAACATCCTCTTATGAAATTTGATTATGTAATTGACACTAGAACCCAGAACTCCGTATACATATATTCATTTGCTGTATAAAGCTTCATGCAGAAACAAAGAGAAAAAAGGTAATACATTATTTTGAAACGAAACAAAAGAGTCCCTTCAAGTTGAAATACAGTTGGATTAGTAATACCTAATGCATTGGATAAATAAGTGAGATGATTTGTCATATTCTTAACAAAAATTATGTCTTAATTTACTGCTACGTTAAAAGAATAGCCCCATTATTTAGTATATCACTGACTTATTTTCTATTCTGAATGAAGTAATACTAAAAATTAAAATATGAAATAAAATGAGTTATAAGTGGAGAAAATATTTTCTTCCCTTCATGGAAATTGTGTATATATTATATTAGGAGAAAACATATTACACATGAAACTATAGCATAAATCAATATATTGTGACTTCTTGTTTTAATTAAATTGGATGCCATAATCTAATTTTGAATTAAAAAATAAAGAATGTAGGAAATAGATTTGCATAATCCAACTTCCAATATTTACCATGAGAAAGTTTTAGGCTAAAGTAGGTTTTAATACCTTTTGTCAAAGCACGAAGCAGAACCCAGTTGGATTAGAAGCTTACAGATATCCAAATGTGAATACAAGGAAAGAAAGAGCTTGTAAGCAATAGGAGCATTTCTATAGTTCATCACAAGGTTGAGGAAAGGCAGACAAGGATATCATAACTTCTTAAATAATTCTTTCAAATCATGAGTCCTCCAGGATGCTTCCCTATGTGCTATTGCTAGCTTTCTAACACACATTTATGAAAAACAGAATTGGTTAGTTTTCCCAAAATTCACTTCTCTTTGCTACAGCCCTCTACCATAATTTGAAAAAAAATTTTATTTACTGTTTTTCCTAAATTAATTTTGAAGACTTTCAATTTGAAAACTGTCCAGAACAACTAAGAAGTTACATAGAAAACCAATATATATTCTAAGTACACATGTTCATTTCTTTCACCTCTTTTTGCCTCTTTTAAACTTTATCTTTAAAAAGCACATTGGATAACTGAAAAATTCGTTGTTTATAAAGGTCAATTTCTTAGTTTAACTCTTTATCTAATTTTTTTTGTCATGTTTCTTTGAGTTTATTTTATTCTTTGGATCACAGAAGTCCATTACTTTTTGGTTAAGATCAGCAATTGCCCATTTCTCTCTTTTTCCTTTCATATGAAGACACCTTCTCACAGTACTCTCTTTTTATGCTAAAATAAGCCTTTGCTCTACTGGCCAAGCCTTTTTTCCTCCCACATATCAGACAGTGATTTTTAGGGTTTACAGAGGAAGTGTTTTTCAGATGCTTTATAAACTTCTGCTAAGTAACTTATGATGAATCTCTGTTCCATAGAAAGTTTTTTTGTGTGAAAAAAACTTCACTTGAGAAGAGTTTTGTGTGTTTTCAAAGTATATCCAATGCACAATGGGCCTATGTGTCCAAGCTACAGTAACATCATATTTATTACTGAGAATTGAGCTTTCTACAATACCAAAACTTACGTTTTAATAAGCCATTCAAAAATAATCTGAATCATTTTAAAGAAATCATTCTCAAAATCATTATGCTCTTCAATTGACTTAAGGATAATAAGGCAATTGAAGCCAAATAAGCCAATATATGAAACAGAGTAAACAGTTTCTTAGATGAGTCCAAGATATCAAAAAAATCACATTGTACTATGC